TTTCCTCCTACACACATCTGCAACTGCTGCTGCTCTCCAGACAGCAGCAGCAAGTAGCTGAAACTACCTCCTACCAGTACATTACCTTTGAGGCTGGTGGGATGGGAGCTCATTCCTTCCATTATGGATAAGTGAGGTAAAAAGGAACATGACCTTGTAAAAAACCCATAGCAGCACGGAGGAGTTAAATGTTATCTTTCAAATAAAACATTCAGCTAAAGTGGGAGTGGGGAATGTGCAGACATTTCTGTTTTTTCCTGAGAAGAACCGAAACACATTTTGTTGTGCATGAGGCATAAACGTTGTGTGGGCTGGAACTGTACAACTGATTTACTTGGAATTCTGTAGCAGTGCAGTTCTACTTTTGATGAAGTTGTAACAACTCAACCCTGGATTTAAGTTAGTTCTTTCACTACTGTGCAGCTATTTAATGTGGGTGTGATTTATTGTATCAAAATATTTAAAATTATTTGGCCTATGGTTTAGTATGCCAATAGTTGTGTTGTCATAGAAATACGTTGTGTTGGAAGAGACTTTTACCATGTGAAAGTAGTTACATTTATATAAAGCAAATATAATCATAGTCGTACTAGTGGAAGAACAGTCATGGTATTCCTCTAATTCTGGTGTAAGCAAAGCTGTACTGCTTCTCTAGGGTGGCCCATATGTATCAGTGGAAATGAACACGCTTTTACTGTGGCTGATCTCATCACTGACTGAGATATTTAATGCTTGCTTGTTACTTCCTCTTGTTAAAGATGTTGAAGAACCTAGCACACAGAAGCTGCTTTCTCAACCAGTTATTGTGTCTTCCAAGTTACAAATCCCTGGCCTACCCTTGCGCTGGGAACAGCAGAGCAAGCTCCTTCCAAGTGTAGCTGGGATCCCAGCCAGTAAAGTTTCTAAGTGGAGTACAGATGAGGTAGGTTTCCGTCCTATCTTCTTGTCTCACTGCTGCTGCTCTTGAAGGCTTGATTGATTCAGAGCTTTAGATTAGTCCTATAACAATAATGCATTGGTATTCAGAGGATTAGAGTGACCCAGAACCTAATGCAACAGGTCCCCAAAATGCCATCCAGCCCTGGAAGCACTTAAGTATTAATTCATATGTGTATCGATACAGGGAAATATGTATGTATATATATTTTTTTTTTCACTGGAGTTAAAAAAGGGGAAAGAAATGATAAGTGTATGGCTCAATAGATCAGGTGCTCAAGGTCTACACTAATAACATCTAGCACTCACACAGACATTCTGGAAGACCAGTTCTAGGGATCAGCATGGAACCATGAACTTTGAAAAAAGATTTGCTAATCCCTGTGCAGCAACCATTTTTGTGTGTGAGAAGTAATTCAAAAGGAGAAGATTCTGGTTCTGCGTGGATGGAATAACCTGAGTAATTTTGAGGGAGTGGCCATATCCCACTCTTAGATGTCCTGTGGATGAGAGTGGCACATCGAATCATAGAATGGCCTAGGCTGGAAGGGACCTCAGAGATCATTTTTAATCCAGCCTCCCTGCTGCCAGGGACGCCACCTCTCAACTAGATCAGGCAACACATGGGGACCCAACAGGAATCAAACCCGCAACCTTGGTGTTGATAGTGCCACGCTCAACTGACTGAGCTAACCGGCCCCCTAATAACTCTTTTAAAAGTCTGCAGATTTTCTGCATGCCAGTGCACCCAGCTGCCTGACTCTACACAATTACAGAAGAAGGTGAAACATCTAATACTAGGCTATAAAAACAATAGCTAAAGAATATTAATAATTGTCAACCTTTAAGACTGTTTTGAGAAATCACTGGTCTTACTAAATGTTTTGTTACATACTTTGTTGGCAGGTCTCTGAATTTATACGGAGTTTACCAGGATGTGAAGAACATGGCAAGGTGTTTAAAGATGAGGTGAGGGAATATTACTTCAAAAAGACACAGAGTACAAAGCTTGATGGAAATTTTATGTCATCATTGAAAATACATATAAAGGGGCAGGATGAGTTGTATGATTCAAGTCAGGCACAAATGTGTGGAAGATTAGGTTGTTTTCGAGGTCATAATACCCATAAGCTTTCAATGCTATCATCATCTCCCTCTGGGTTAAGCTCAATGCATTCCAGTTGCTTACTTACATAAAGAGCAACTCTACCACGTCGCCTTATTCAGCCTATCCTTCCTGAAAAGCACATAGCCGTCCATTACCACATTCCAGTCGTGAGCTATCCCACCATGCCTCTGTAATTGCCATGAGATCACAGCTCTGTGACTGCACCCAGATTCACATTTCATCCTGCTTATTCTCCGTGCTTCTTTGTATACAGACATTTCAGAGACTTAGTTGATGAGTGTCTGTTACTGTTGTGTTTGGTTTCATCTGTTTGCCTGTTGAGTGCAATGGCACCCCACCCCCTGCATAATTCAGTTTAAAGCCCTCCTGACCAAGCTGGCCAGCCTAGCCCCAAAGATTATCTTGCTTCTTCGAGACAAGTGTATTCCATCCCACCCTAGCAGGTTATAGTCGTCATAATGATGTCCATCTGAATAGCTACAGTCTGATACTGTAATATCCCAAGTCAGCCAGCCTTTCAAGCGAAGAATAATTGTGGCTTGAGAAGGCACCTCAAAGAGGAAAATGTGTACAGATGGCCCTGCTCATCTCTTTCAACAAAAGTCTTCAGGCTGTGCTGTAGATTGTAATGACTATTACAGTTGAATATCAAAGGACTGACAGGCTGCATCTCTGGGCATTTTGCACTTGTTTAGATCTTAGGGCTTTTACAGTTGCAGCAGGCATTCAGGCCTAGATCATCCCCTTTGTCATTTAGGGTCTCACCAGTGAACTTAAGATCAATAAAAGCTGACTGTATAGCTATTCGAGTCAGCAGGCTGGAAGTGCCCCAGAGATGAATGAACCCTAAACACTTCTCAGAGGTATAAGAAAATACTTCCCTGCTTCAGAATTCAGCCTCTCAGGCTTTGTTTGTGAGTAGTAAATTAAACCTCTCCCAGTGTGGCCAACCATTGGGGACTGGCTGGCATCAGTAGGTCTTTCAGCAGGTAGAAGGTCCTGGTTCAAACTTCTGCTATGGAAATGAACCCTCATCCTGCTTATATTAAGATGCTGCAAGAAGCTGGGCACCTCCACATTCACACCCTTCTGGTTCTGAGCCCACCCAGTCTGGCTTTGTGCATGAAACGAGTAGAAAGTAACTGTCGTACCTGCGTGCTGCTGTTCTCACTGCAGTGTTCCTCAACTTGCAGCGCTGGGGTGTACCTTCCAGGCTTCTTTTGCAGCATGTGTGATTCAGAAAGCTTGTCTTCTAGTCCCACAGAAACTTAATTACACTGGCTTTATCTCAAATTTGTATCTTTAAGCCTAAATGATGCTCCTGATTTAATCACAGCTGGCTTTTAGGACTAGCTATCCTGCTTATGTTACACTGGAAACTTACTGTAAATACCTAAGTGACCTGAACTTTACCCAAGAAGTGTTGGCCCCATTGAAGCCCTTGAAAGAGAGGGCCTTTTCGTGTTTGGATTTATCACTCCTGCTGACAGAGCAATTTGCTTACAGGAGAATATTCACTTGTAACGTTTATTAAAATAGCAATGCTGCAAAGCTGGCAGAAAAGAAAATACAGCATTTTGAAAAGATGTGTTTGTGTCAAACAGGCAGTTTTATGTAGTCTGGCCCCTCTTTACATACGGGACCAAACGCATTTAAATTTGCTATTTAATGAAGAGAAAGGGGTGGCCTGAAGTGCGTTCCAGTTCTGTAGGTGTGAGTGAAATACAGAAACTTTCTTATGGAGGCTTGTATAAAACGAGTAGCTAAGATGTTAAAAAGTATCACTATGCTGCAGTACAGTTGAATTCTCCTTCATTTACCCATTTTAGTTTTCAATAGCTTTTACTTTATACTTTCAATATGAAAATAAGAACTGGTTAGCTAAAAATGAGCCAGAGTTTTTTACAAGCAGAAACATCATCATCATCCTGTTCTTTTGGACTAGCTGATCTGTCTAAAAGGTTGAAATCAAAGCTATCCTGAAAGCATTTGAAAGTGTTTATATTCAGCCATTCCTTTACACTGAAATTGCTAGGAATTTTCTTTTCACTTTTTCTGAAACATTATACTGCTGCACTGTCAGACCTGTTAATAGCTTTTTGTGTTTTTTCTTTTAAAGCAAATTGATGGAGAAGCATTTCTGCTAATGACCCAATCAGACATAGTCAAAATAATGAGCATTAAACTGGGACCAGCCCTAAAAATCTTTAATTCCATTCTGATGTTCAAAGCTGCAGAGAAAAACTCACACAATGAACTTTGAAGATAAAGGAAAATATGTACGAGCCAACTTTCTCCACTGGAGCTGATGTTTTATTCAAAGCACAAAGACTCGCTAGAACTGTTGAGTAAAGACTCTCAGAAAGGAAGAAACGTATTTTCAGCGCTGGTGGACTATTTATATTCTCCTAGAGCCAGTACACATCTGAATCCTTCTGGGAAGTGTTGAAGCTTTTGGGAAGGTACTGTGTAACACCCGAGTCAGCTAGTCTTATTTACCAAACTAGTGGCGCTAGTTTTCCATGGATGGTTAGGATCCCTAACTTTCTCTGGATGTCGAGAAAACCTGCATTAATTATTTATGCTGTATTATATAAGGGAACGTTAATATTTTCTAAGAATTCTTCAATTCTACTTCATGTACCCATTTTACTTTACAGAAGCTTTTACTTCGCACTATCAAAATAAAAACCAATTAGCCAAAAATTAGGCTACAGGTAGCCAGATGAGACTGTTACGGCTAATACATACTTGTGCCATAGCTCAAAAACGAAACACTTAATGTTACATACCTGACACTTTATGCTACAGCATATAACTTTACAGAACTGTCTGTTTGCTTGTAACGAAACAAAACAAACCTTGTTAGGGTTGAAATTATAAAGCTTTTTTGATAACTGAATGTTTTTACTTTTGCACGATTACAGAAATGTTATGTGAGTTTTTCCACCAGCATCTTTAATGTATTTTACCAAAAGATCAGCATAGAGAAGGCTGCAACTGAAAAATAAAGTTTGACTTCATAGACAACTTTTCGTTTATGCTGCACAATAGAGCCCCAGCCTTTTTACATGGGAGCCTGCTACAATCCGTCAGCACATGAAGGAAAATACATGTATTTTGAGGTAAGGACATTGGCAGATAAGAAAAATATGTTCATTTGAGTCTGTACATGCCAATCTCCAGCATAGTTACTACAACAGCGGAGAAAAACAGTGTACTAAAGCTAGGACTCCTGCTCTGACTTCATACTCAATATAGGTTTGTTTCTCAGTGGTGGGAGAATTATTTCACCCACCACTTCCTAGTTGAAAAATCTGATTTATAAATGAATAAGGCATAGGGGGAAAGACAAAGCATGGGGGAAAAGGTTATTTAAGCGCCTGTGGTGTATCAGCACATCTTAGGTGTAAAATGCATGTGTTTCACTGGGTCATTAGCAGGCTGCAGATGCCACCAGCAGGTACTTTGGTGAGGGAACCTTCTTTCTTGGAGTATTATTGTAACGATTTGTCAGGGAAAGTCGTTGCACTTGGTATATATATGTAAAATGTAAACCAGATGCACTTTAAATGGAAGAAAACCTAGCTAGCTACCTATATACTGAGGACTGTTCCAGACTGTTGCTTTTGCAAGAGAAGAGAGAAGAGCTGGATCAAGATTTTTGGCAACCCTCTTCTTAGCACTGTGGTGGGCAGTTGTTCAGCCTTTAGAGCTGAGAACAAACAGAGCATTTCCATTGCACAGAGCTGGGGGAATTTTACATCTTCCCACAGATTTTGCTAGGCTGTTCTTCGGCTGAAGTTCCTTAGGATTTCAAGAGCTCTCTGTGCCCCTTCCAGATCATGTAGGTGACTGGTACCTGCCATAATATGAGGTGAAACAGGGTCAGTATGAAGTTGCATTGCTCCGTTAATTTCCTTCCATAGCATTGCATAAATAATATTTTTACATTTTGTTCAATATTTGTACATTTGAATTGCACTCTTATTGTACTACAATACAAATAAAACCTGAACTGGAGCTGTCTGTTACATTTGTGTGTGCCCAGGATTCTCAGATGAACCCGGCTGTTCCCGAGGGTGGTGTAGAGTAATTCCTCACCATAGCTCAACGTGGCCATGGGATTAAAAGAGCAGCTTGGCTGTTGCTGTCTGCCCCCTCCCTAAACACCTACTCCTAAGGCTCACAGGCCACTTGCTGTCACAGTCAGAATCCCATATATGGACTTGGATTTTTCCACTGGCAGTAGCTGAAGTTCTCTATGCAGAGCAAGAAAATGCCAAATTCTCCTATTTTCTTTCCTTCCGTCCTTCCGTGTAGTTATTTTTTCCCCTTTCCCTGTGTGTCTCTCTCATGTTCTGTAGCCTGCTTTGAGAAGCAATGAAGAAATTTGTTGCTTCACAGAGATTACTTGGGGATGCTAGCAGCTCCCTGAATTTTTATATACCTGCTTACCAAGCACTGTGGTTTAAGAAATGGGTTTGAATTAATACTGTTTACAAGATGCAGAATGAACCTCACTTAAATGATACGGAGCCCAACTTTTTATTCATACAACTATCACAAGTGTGAGGACATGCATAATCCTTACTTTTCTATCCCATGCGATGAGGTAGGGTGTAGCCACCCCTGTTAAAAAAACTACATCTGACAAATTAACTGAGAGATAAAAAACATGTAGGAGACCTGCTGAATCATTAAAACAGCAGTTGGTACTGTTTGTATGTTGTGTTGGAAGTAGCCCGACCATCACACAGATAAAGGTTGTCCCCGATTTCCATGGGAGACACATGAAAAATCTTAAGGCTTTAGCAAGAGAGCCTGGCTACTAAAAGCAGCAATTTTCCCCTCACAGCTGTGTCTCCCACTGTAATCTCTGCATTGGAGTCAGCCCTGCACAGCCAGGCTTTAGCAAAACCTACATGGTCTTCCAAGCGGCCTGAGTGCTTAAAGAACTGTGGTGACCACAAACATTGCTTTGGCCATACAGGCTTTTTTAGACCTGGTAGGAGATTGATCTCTTCAGTGTTTTAATAAAAAGTCATAGTGTTTTAATAAAAAGCCATTTTAATTTCTAATGAGTGCAATGAAGCGTGTTTGCTGGTGGCTGGCTCTTACTAGGGGATTGTCCAAAGCCATGCATTGTCAGGGATTTCCAGATAAGCAGGATTTAAGAGGAGCATGTTAGGGAGAAGAGGCCGTAGAAGAAGAGAGGAGAGGGCCTGCGCTCTGTGTGGGCAGACAGAGTCAGCATGTGGAGAAGGGTGATTTGTTCTAGGGAACAAATTCAGAAAGAAAATGAGGCGTTCTCTCCCCAGTGCCAAAGCTATGGTTACAAATGCACATGGCAGCATCCCAAATAAGTAGTTCTTGCTACTTTGAGAGCTCATTTTAGAATCTCTAGCAAATTCAGGATTAATGTTGAAAAAGAAAGGAACGTTTCATGCACAGATGAAAGAGAGAAAACCTCATCATCCTGCAAATTAAAAATCAGGCCCACTATTTTAAAACACAAGAATTACTATAGTAGGCTTTCAGTGATCATAATGTAATGAAATGATGGTAGGAAGTCTATGTTTAACTTTTGCCACTTCAAAATATTAACTGTATTGGCATCTGAAGCAGCAGTGTTCACATTAGCTTACAATGTGTTTTTTGAATTCTGACAGTCAAAATAGTACCTGTACTTGTCAAGTGCTCCATATGTAAAAATAATACCCAACACGTGCAGTAATCTAGAAAATTTTATTATCTCTAATGCCTCTAGACTGCTCTAGAATTTCCATTTAAAATAATGAAAATGCTTAGGTTTTTTTTTTTTTAAAGCCAGTACAATTTAAAAAGAAAAAAAGAGCATTATTAAACATAACTGTTATAAATATGCTTACACATTCAGAAAGAATGGCACTGATTTATCTTCAGGACAAAGGGATTTATTATGACAAAATGTCAAATGCTCCCAAGAGGACTGCTGTGTACACCATCAGATACTGGGATGCTCAAGTGCCTCCAGCCCTCTCTTTACCTGGGTGGGCAGGGATGCCAGGCTCCTCACCTCAAAGACCAGGGACTCCAGGAAGCTCAGTGTCCTGTGGATTCTCTTCGGGCACGGGATATCGAACACGTGAAACGCAGCCACCAGCGCGGCCAAGGCCATGGTGCAGTCATCGAGCTGGGCTAGCTCTTGTCTTTCTATGTACAATGCAAACTCGCATGAATTCACGTTGAAGGGATTTTTTACTTCCAACACTGGTGTCACAGCCTTCACCTAAATTTAAAAAAGGATATTTCAAATGAAGCATTGCTTTGGTTAACAGGTCAGAGAAGTAAGCGTAATAACACTGCTTCGAATTTAGCTGTTATTTCTATTAATATTTGCCTTCTACCCAAACGGCAGGCTAATGTCATCCTTTTCCAGGAACTAAGCTGAGCCACCAAAAGGCCAGGTGATGTGCCCAGGCAGCTGATCCAAGGAAGAGACCAAACTGCTGGTGCTCTGTCTCCTACCTCCTCGTTCACTGCAGCAAACAGACTGGAATCATCTCCAAAGACATCTGGCAGGAGTAAACATGCAGCAGTCATTTTCATATCTGTCAAAGGCAAGGATTTCTACTAAATTACAAATTAAAACATTTGGGCACTGCAGTATCATCCTGGAACAGCAGGTTGCAGCCTATGTAATAGTTAAGAGCTCAGCAGTGGAACTGTTGTTCACTCCATTTTAAAGAGCACTTGGTACCACAGTGAAGGTTTAGGCACCTCAGCTGGCAATTCATGACACTCTACTACTCAAAATTGTGATTAAATTTCTCGTGCAAGTAGGCTTTTGGGTTGCTTCTAGTGGAGTTTCTGAGTTGACTAGTCTTCCTGCTCCCACCATCTCCCAACACCTCTCTCTCCCCAGTAAATTGGATGTCTGAGGAGTTTTGTCAGAGTACTCCGCTTCGAAAGCTGCCATACAAGCTGGTGCTGCAGGATCTCCTGGGATATCGTACCTTTCTCCTGCCCCTCTGGTTTGGCTGTTACTAACTGGAACATTTTTTTTTGAAGGTCAGACTTTTGGTGTCACGTATTTCACTGAACATACCTTGTCAGGCATTTATCATGTAGGTGCTATGTCAAGTTGGTTGTGAGAGAAAAACAGGAAAGTAAAGGCTTTGGGACTGCAGTAAGATATGAGTTAAAATCTTTGTGGGAATATTGTATAAGAAAGGGGGAAATTACTTACAATGTCCCTGTCTTTTAAGGCTAAAGATAAGAGTAGAAAGTCCATAAAGATCTTCCGGATTAAGCTGTTCACTGACACTTTTAATCCATCGCGAGCTACTGAGTGCTTATGTTTTTAAGCTTAAAGAAAGAAAAACCTACTCTGCTTGCTTCTTTAAGAAATGGCCTGTTACTAAAAGGACTGGAACCACCATAGGAAACACATGTGCTCATACTGTATCGCTTTTGATTTGACATCCTGGCATTACGCCTGTTCAGTAGAAAGTGACATTCTAAGGAGCACTGCTCACAGAGCGAAGTTTGGGCACAGGCATCCACGGCTGTGGTTTGGGAAGAATAACAGTTCTGAGTAACTGCTTCAAAGGTTTTATCCTTGCAGAACCACACTCCCCAGACTTCTCAGACCAAAAGAAGTTGAGTGGCAGCTGGCTCTTGCTCCCTTGCAGCCAGTGAGCCGTGGACCTCTTTGCACAGCTGTGGTGCATGCTCACCAGAGGTACCAGTTTTTGTGTTTAGTCCTGCAACATGTCTCCACAGAGATGAGGTACTTGAAACACAGTTAGTGGTAACTACTACTTTTATTTCACTGGGATGGAGACTTTAATTGTAGAAACAGT